CTATCTGGAAAATTCACATCATTTACCCATAAGAATTTTAATACTATATAGATATTTAGAGACCTAATTATCTTGGCATATTTTTGATATATCGTGTCTATATTGACTCAGTAAGAATTGGTATATTGTACAATGTCTCCAGATTATGTTTGATATCTAAAGTTCTTTAAAAATTAGGTTACTAATTAGGTTTAGTATTAACTTTTTAAAATTGACTTTATTTGGTTTGATATTATTTTTATAATCAAGTTTTCATTGTTAATAGACATTATCATTATAAGTTAATCACAGCCCCTTTAATTTGTGACCAGCAGGTAAGATTTACTTCGCTGATTCACTAAAAAGGCTTGGCTAAAATATTTCAACAAAATCGAGAGTTCAGGCTGGGTGGCACAGTGGGTAACAAGTCGGGATGCTAACCACAAGGTCAGCAGTTTGAACCCACCAACCTCTATGGTGATGATGTTTGGCTATAGAGGGAAGGAGAAAAATTAGGCTTTCTGCTCCCACAAAGATTCACAGCCTGGAAACCCACAGGGGTAGTTCTACTCTGTCCTACTGAGTTGCTATAAGTCAGAATTAACTTGATGACAAGGACGTTGGAGTTTATCCAATTGAAGAGAACGAAAGCACTTTTCTAAAATGTTCAACCAGAAGAACTTAAACTAAATTTCAATGTTCTGTGGCATCAAAAGTAGAAAGTTCTTCTCAAGATTATGGAACAAGATTTCACATACACTCTTGAAATTATAGGCCTTGGTTAAAACTTAGTGGTTTTAGGATTGCCTTATTTTACAAGCTTGGATTCATTGACTGGTAAAAACTTTCATACAGACAATTCCTGTTTTTGCTATTTGTTTCATACTTATAGCTATTCTCCTGTTGATAGTTATTTGTATTTCTTAAGTATTATTTCATTTCAGTATCTTCTTTTTCCCATACAAATAAATGAGGTAGAAAATTCTTACTACAGCTATAAATTTATGATATTTGCATTATTATACTATTTCTGGTTATTATTTTGCATAATGTAGACTTTCATAGCATTCACTAATTAAATACTGTTACTCCTGATAATATCTGCTATGAAATTGGCTCTATTAAATCAGCCCAAGCCATAGTAAACTCCAGTAAATTTACTGACTGTTAGATTTGCCACGCCCATAATAAAAAGAATCTCACTTCCATCGAATGTGTTCTGACATACAGCAATCCTACAGGCCAGGAAAGAACTGCCCCTGTAGGTTTCTGAGATGTCTGTGCTCACCCCCAAAAGAAGTTCAGGCTGGTGATGGGACTTACTAAGAACCTTCATTTCTACTTATTAGAGATAACTGACTTAAATTTTTAAAGTTTGTAATCTGTCAGCCAAGATAGTCAAAATTCATCACTTAGCTGACAATGTAAATCAAGAATAACTTTTATAATCTCTAACTAAAGTATTCTTAGACAATCTCATTTCCATTGCCACATAAGGAAGAGTCTTGCAATTACCAATACTTGACACTGTACATGGTTTAACACATCAAGAGAAATAGAACAGGACATCAGG